TGCAAAAATCCAGAAAAAAAAACAATCTGTGATGGATTCAAGTTGGACTAAAAACAAAAACATCAGCAATAAAATGGCCTTGCTAGAATATCGAAACTTTCCTAGAACATAGCAGCTTGCTTTTTAGTGTGAAGTCTATGAAGTCTGTAATTCTGCTAGAAGACGCCGGGGGGAGGGGGAGAAGTATTACTGAATTCAATTAGTACTTCCTTGTAATTAGATTTTAATACTGATGTTTTCTCACTTTTACTCCCAAGATACTGCTGCTGTCTCCAGTACTTTTTACTCAGGCATGCTGAAAATCTGCTTGCTTCTGTCCCCCAGTTTTGTATCAGTTCTTAGTTATCTTACTGTATCTAAGCACTGCTGAAATCAATGGAAAGGTAGTACAAATTGAGGTCAAAGTGCAAAGTCTTTAATGAGTTTTCAAAAATGAAGAGAAGAATAGTCTAGGAAACAAGCAAGAATGCCTCCATTGTGAACTGACTGTTTGGTTCACAACAAAGGTCTAAAATACATAAAATGTATCCCCCCAAAATTCTATTTCATTTTCACAGGATGGAACTTGTTTGGAACAAAGGTTAATGGTGAGATATTGGCCAATATCCTGTTGCTTGCCCCAACTGAGAATACGCAAAGCAAACTGTGCTGCTTATATACCACCCCATAGCACTTAAAGCACCCTCTTGATAGTTTAAATTTTGATTATGCAGGCTACATATTGCACACACAACCTACCGCCAGCAAACTGGGTATTCAATGTACTGACCTCAGAAGGATGGACAGTCGAGTCCACCTTAAACTGGCTACCTGAGCCTTTTGGGATTGAACTCAAGATGTGAGCACTGTCTTGACTGCAGCACTGGAGTTTAACCACTGTGCCACGAGGCTCCAATCAATCTGTTTTTGAGTAGGCCAATGTTTTTTCAAATCACATCAAGTCAATAGGTCCATTCTAATGGACTAACAACAGGGCGTTGGCCATGATTGATAAGGGAATCAAACGGTACCATTCAATTCATGGATTGTTGTTTGATCCAAAAGACACTTCCTGCAATGGAAGGGAGAGGGATTTTCATTTGTTTTCTCTCTCTCTCCTGGAACTGCCTTACTACCTAGATTGTTCTGAATGGTCCCAGTCATTCCTGGAAGAAAGTTTGGGAAAGCACAGCCTGCTGGGAAAGAAAGAATTATCAAAATACTGCCCTCTTCTGTTCTGTTAGGGGAACTCTCCAGAAGCTGATGGAGTAAAATGGCACCAGTGGATTCCATTCAGAAATATAATTTCACGAACAGAAATGGGCAGGTAATGTGCCTCCAATTCTCCTCGTACAACTTGAACAACAACAAAAAAGGTTTATGTAGCTTGTTCATCTAGATACAATGAGCCAAGTCCAATTTTAGTCTCTAGACCTGTTGAGGTTTATGTAGCTTGTTCATCTAGATACAAGTCCAATTTTAGTCTCTAACTATATTAGACCTGTTGTACTAAGTGGGATTTACCTTACTGCTAAGGAATCCTGATTATCTCAATTGGTTTACTTTACTGGGGGCTAAAATAGGATTTAGCCCAATGAAATATATCATCTTTTCAAATGTAACCCTAAGAGACCGAAGCTAGGCAGTTTCACAGGGAAGGGAAATGCCATTGCCTTTAGCTCAAGTCCTCTTTCCTACTACCAATGTACTCTCTGAAATAGCCTCTTCTTTTCTCCAGATCCTTGTTTATTGTGGTCATCTCCTGTCTGTATTTCGATTCAAACTCTTTGTTCTTCCTTTCTGTAGTGACAAATAGGAGTGCACTCATTTGCCCCCACATACTTTATTGTTTTGATGACACTACAACTATCCATGCCTGTTTCCCACTGGAGCCAAAGGAGCATGTTCATTGGTTTCAGCAGGCTTTAAGGACAGCTGGTTTTAGTTGATGAGGGCTAGAGTCCAATATACAACGATTAGTAGTTCTACTAATTTTGCACACACAGAAGATTGCACTGCACAAAGCTTGAGCAGCGAAGCATCACTAACTTTGATCTTCTTAGCCAATCAGTTGATTTGGGATACATCTTAACAATGCAGCCCCTGGATCTTTACACAGGAGCCAGTCCCATTGTCCTCAGTGAGGTTACTCCCAGTGAAATGTGCGGTGGAGGGCAGCCTCAGTGTTCTGCCGAATCTTTATTAAACATCAGGAGATGGAGGAGCAAGTGTGCCATTTAGAAAAGGGGGCATTTACAAATTCTTTGTTCGTTCTGTCATGGGAAGGGGAGACACATACTTGATACAAGTCGCAGTTAATACCACCGAAAGCTATGTCATGAATGCAGAAAAAAGGGCTTGGCAAAACACAGGACTCTAATATTTCCTTTCAGATATTGTAATTTAATAAAGTGAAACTCTGCCTGGTTTCTGTTCGGCAAATCGTTTGAGCCGTGCATGCTGTCTTCTGCTATGAATGCTTGCTTTGTAGGATAACACATTTGTGTGGACAAAGCATAAGCCCCTATGCACTTGGGGTGGCATTATACTTCCAAAGTGAAAGACAACTCCCTGGTGTGACAGGAGTTTTTTGTTTTTTTTTTAATGGGAGCTTATCTTTTAAGTCCTATAGCTTTCTCTAAGTAGGCCCCGAGCTGCAGTGATGAATGCCTCACAGCTGTTCAGCCACAAAAGACCAACGTGCCATTTCCCGTGCAGCCATTAGATGGCGCTTGAAACAGAAAGTAACAAGAAAAGGAAGAGAGGGGGGGAAAAACACCCCTATGTTTTATCTGCATGTGTGTTTGTGTCTAATTTCACTACACGTTTTACTGGACAGGCAGCAAGCAGCTCAACAAAAATGATTTCAGATTAGTAGCAGATTCATAAACGTAATCGATTTTAATAAACTGGCCAGAATCCTGTTGGTGTTTGCATAAGGTCTGATTAACTTATTGCATTCACCTTATGCAAATACCAACACAATTCCAATCAGTGAATGTCTTCAATGGTGGTGTAGGATGAATACATAACCTGAGGCTCTGGGGTCATAATGAATTTCTTCCCACGTCCACAGTGGTCAGTTCAGTGGTCTGTTTTGAGTAGGGTTGTTAAATTAGCTGCTAGAAAATCGCAAGTTTTGGCATATCCTGGCATGCACTGGCCCATTTGTACACATGGTAATAATGGTTCACGATTTCTTCCCTCCCTCCTCATCGCATGCCTATGCCCTCCCAACATCTCAATAACCTCTCTTTGAGGTGTGCGCTTTAACTTAACGCTGGATTTTTGAGTCATTCCTTGTTTTCATCTTGTTTTCCACACTCTTGTGGGTTACCTTTCTTTTAAATTAAAGGAAGACATGAACAGACTAAATTGCTTCCGTGTTATTTACGTCTTCCCTCCCATTATCTCAACTGCCTCTTTTGGGAAGTATCTTTTAAATTAATACTGAATGGGAGGTGGTGGCTGTGACCCTGGCCATCTGATGTAGACACACACAGAGAGACACGCTGCACCTTGCATGCTGAAAGAGGAAGACAAGGCTTCACACCTCACCCCAAAGGCTAGCTTTGGCTGGTTCTTCGAATGCTTTGGGTTAAAGGAGTCCGTCCTGCAAGAAAGACCTGGAGTCCTGGACCCATAGCATGATGAGGCTTGGCAGGCATGACAACTGATGACACAGGCAGCCTCATGTATTATTGCTGCACAAGGAAATGATACTTTGTTTTTCCCCTGATTTCTGCACTTTGCCCTCATTTTCCCTTGCATTTTCCTGCAGATCAGAGGACAGTGTGTTGTCTTCAGGGAATTCCTGTGGTCATCTTTTGGATCTGTGGAGAGAGTATGGCCATGAGTAAAAGTGAATGGCAAAAACCAACCATACAATAGGAATATCACCAGACGCCTGTGTGTGTGTTTGTAGTGCAGAACATAGTCATTTCTATATTTATATGCTCTAGTAATGTATATAATCTTAGAACTGCAGAGCTGGAACAGACCCTATGGATCACTGAGTCCAGTCCATGTCAAGGAGGCACAGCAGGAAATCGAACTCCTAACCTTCATAGCCAAATACCTAAACCACTGGATGCTTTACATGATCCCCTTTCCCTGTTTTATTCTAAAAGCAACCCTGTCAGGTAGATTGGATGAGAGATCCTGACTGACCCAAGATTAAACAAGTAACATGCCTAATATTTTTAGTATAGTTTTTCCATGGTGTTTTAAAATCTGTGGTTACTATATAGTTTAACATATGTTTGCTGAGCAAGGATCTGAATGTTGATCCCCCTTTTAGCACTCTAATCCTCACACTATACCAGCTCTCGCAGATTGGTGCAAATAATGCAAAAATTAATGTGCTAAATTTATCTAAAACACTAATGTGATTATTATACAAGTAGGGCTATGCAATCTGATTAATTTGCGAACCAGGCCCCCTGAATAGGAGAACTGGAATATAGCAACCCTGTTTTTGGCCCGTTGCCTATTGTGTAGCTTCACCTCTCTACCATTTTGAGTTTGTCTGCTCTACAGAATCCTTGATGGAGTGGATCTGTTCACTTTTCCTGTGTTCCTGCATATACCAGAGGTGGATCATGTGTGGCCTCTAGATGTTGTGGGACTACATGTTCCATAAGCCATGACCAGCGCAGCCAGAAATGAAGGATTATGGGAGCTAAAAGTCCAATGACTCTGAAGGTCTGTATACTCCTCAACCGCAGCATGCTTGGAACAGCAGCCGCCAGCAGTTAACAAACGTTTAATGCAATATTCTAGCAGTCTAACATAAAAGGATGTTTGGAACAGATCAGTTTCAATACTGAATTCACACTGTTCAGATTCCTAAAGTATTCCCAGAGTACACCTCTCACAGTTCACCAGAATAGAATTTTTCTTCACTGCCATGCTATGATCACAAAATCTATATTTATTGATGTCTCCCTTCTGTGCCTACAGGAATCCACTTAAGGTCTGGACTAGGCAACCACTGACATATTTCTGAGATGGCAGGGCCACTCACAAGACTTCTTGTTATCTCACAGTATGGTATGGAGTGGCAAAAGCCAGCGAGGTTACTTTGGCATAAGAATCAGAACATCCCACAAGAAGTTGTAAAATCCAATAATAACAAACTGAATAACAATTTACTGCCCTTTCATGATGCTCCAGGTCTAATATCTGAGGAGACGGGTTCACTCTGCCTAGTGGTAGGAGTGGCCTAATCAGGGAGAAAATCTCACACAGTCAGCCAGAACAGATATTGTTGAGACTGTCATGATCCACAGCATCCTTTCTGTTGCCATTATTGTGGAATCTCTTCGGAATGGTGCTTAGTTTATTTGTTGTACAAGAGCTGTTTCTTCACCAGTAGCTAAGCATATAAAACATAAAAATATATCATGGAAGTGGTTAAATCAATTAATATATTAAAGTTTTCAAATATTGAGTAACAGACCTTAAAAACAGGTACAGTATTTGTTGAAAAGAGAGACTAATAAAAGTGAAGTTTATACCTCCTGTTCGTGATGTTTAGATCATTAAAACATAATGTCTTTATTACATATTAGATATTGTAGTATGGTAAACACTTCCCTCCGTGTATGTTTTGTATGTGTTGTTTATTTGTCTGTATATAATAAAAAATAATTTTTAAAAAACCATAATGTCTTGATGCTTAGTGAATTGTGTTACATGCTAACAGAAGAAATAAAGATGATTTGACTTAAACAACAAATTGATTGTTCCCTTTTAAATTTAATACACCATTTTTAAATATTGGGCTGTCCATCTGTACAGTAGACATGCTTCTTACTTATATGATTAAAATCCAATAAACAGGAAAGAAAAGCTGTAAATTGTATATAGTAACACATTAAAATGTGCCTCCATTACACATTGTGGAAACAGCTAACCCAATGAATAAACAGGGCTCTGTTGATTCAAATCATAAGCAATTGATCCTTCTATATGTTGTGCTGTTTCATTTGTTAGATTCCTGTCTAAGGAAGAGCTTTTCTGAATTTGGAGAAGGATGCTGTATAGTGCTGTGCTTTGGATTTGAATGAATCCCCAATAGAGCTGATTTGGGCAGCTTTTACATATAGCTTATTAAAAGGAAAACTCGTCCAAAGCAATTCACATCCAAAAGTAAACACCTTGAGTCCCTTTACTGGGAAAAAGGTAGGATATAGCTAAGTAATTTCAATTAATTAAAAAAAAACTACTTTCCAGTGTCATCATGATGAGAAGACAGGATTCTCTAGGAAAGACAATAATACTGGGAAAGGTGGAAGGCAGCAGCAAAAGAATAAGACTAAATATGAGATGGGTTGACTCCCAAAGAATCAAAGGTCTGAATCTACAAGAGTTGAGCAGTGCAGTTGAGGACAAGACATTCAGGGGATCGCTCATTCATAGGGTTGCCATAAGTCAAAGGCAACTTAGCAGCACATAACAAGAATACAGAATTCAAAATGCCAGGAACTAGCCTGGTATTTCTGCCCAATATTATCCCCATATTGCCAGCAGGAAAAAGGATGCCAAGCTTTACATAGCAAAGATCAGCCTGAATGCTGACGACACCATTTGCATTTCTTGAAGAAAAAAAACAGTCCTGATAATTACTTTGTATTTGGGTGACGAGTGGTTAACTGATTTTTAAAAAGAAGTCTGAGATTTCCTCTTGTGTGGTGTCACTTCATGAATGGTAGTGAGCACAAGAGGGCATCCTGTAGACCATCTTGAGTGCTGCCATTAGCCATTTCAGTTTGGAAGCATGCAGAATGCGGTCAGAATGCAGTCCAAAAGCTAATATATTTCCTTCCAGGCTCTCCTATAAGAAAGGTGCCAGGATAGGAGATGGAGATGAGAACAGTTTCATTTTTTGACTTGCATCTCTATCTTTTAATCACAGCCAGTGATTTTAGCAGGACTCTCCAATCCCAGTGCCTTAAGGGAGGGATGTTGTTTTAGTGATGCAAGTCTTCCATGTTCTTTGCTAGTATTCACTCCAAGAACAGGAGTGCTAAGGGTATTTTGGTGAAATCTGTAAATCCTTAATGTGGGTAGGATTGGAAAATGGGTGGCTGTTGCAATCTTTCTGCCTCTAACACTGTATAGATTTATCCACTCATGTCTTATACTCTGTTGATGTCAGTGTCAATTTACCAGAAAACAAAAGGAATCTGATGCTATTTTTCATTCATCTAAAATCCCTAGGTCCTTTACATGTCCATCTGAAATGATACAGATTTTACACCTAGCTATGGCATATGGTGCTTTCATACATATTATCAAAAACTCATGTAGAAGGATAAGTCAAAGCAATGTCCCATATGAGCAATCTCCTCCAGCAAAAAAAAAGACCACGCTGACTATACTCCTGAAATCTTGCATGTTTCTTAAACATGCTGTGCTTTGCATCAGTTGCATAACTATATCTGACTGAGGGGGGATAAGGCAGGGGAATAAGGATATCTGTTATTTACATCCAAAATGTAAAGGTTGCCAATGCACAAAATGCTCTGCACTTTTTTTTTAATGTTCAGCAGGATTAAACTCAGAAGGTAGGACTATCTTTACAAATTCTCCCAATTCTGTCAAGAAAAAAAAAGAGGAAGTTAGGCTGAGATTGGATGGCAATATTGGATTACATTGAAAGGGTCATTGGGTGTGATCCTTAAAGCGGTCCTTCGGCACACATGAAATCTGGTCCTGTTCACTCCAGCCTAGCTCCAAAAACAAACTCTGCTGCTGGACCAAAAGGGTTCGGATTGAGCACAGAACAGAGTCGCGCTGGTTTGCAATCTCCTCTACATCATCTGGTCACTGGAAAATAGATTGAACTGGGCTGTGTCATAGGCGATCCAAAAAGCAGGCTAAACCACTGGCTGACGGCACCCTGAGGGTGTGACTGCATTGACAAATAATGTAGGAAATGCTCCAGGATTGGGATGGTCTGATTCACATTACTTTCTGTTGTAGGAGGGGTAGCCGTGTCAGTCTATGCAGGCATTATAGGTAAAAACAAAATAGAAATAAAAAGTTTAAAAAGACAAAAATTTGGTGGCACCCTAAAGACTAACTTTTACATTTTTTAAAAATGTGAGCTTTCATGGACAAGCCCAGTTCAACGTTCCTTACTGTTGACTATATGAAATACAAATCAATGCAAATAAGCCCCGAGTTTTCCCTCTCAATCAGTGTTGGCGTTTTTTCCTCCACCACTAGGGCTTCTACTCTCTACGTAACTAAATGCATTCACATTGGTACAAGTGGTGTGATCACTTGAGAAGACGTGGAAGGATTTATAGCCATTGTACCTGAAGCCATTCCAGCCAGCTGAAACAACAGTGAAAGAGGGAGGGCAGTAGAAAAAGTGGCTGCCATTTGAATCCTCTCTTCTCCAAAGCTAATGTCTACATCTGCTTTCTTCTTTACTTCCAGTTCCATTTCTTTGCTTTCTCTTCATTTCTTTTTTTACTTTTATTCTTGTAAAAGCTTGCTAATGTAGAAAGTTACTAGGCAACCCAAGGTGGGGTGAGGAGAAATATGAGAGAGAGAAGTTATCAATCGCTCTTGTTTTGAGGTTGTTAAGGTAGCTCTGCTCTAAACATGTCTCCTACAAATCTGGATGACCAGAGCTGAGCAGAACTACCATAACAAGCTACAACAATGCTTTTGAATGCCAATTTCTTCCCCTCTCTCTGCTAACTCATGTGTGTTGGGCTGAACCAAATTAAACACAGGAAGACTAACTTCACAACAGATACATTCACATTTTTTCTGTGGTATAGTTGCATCCTCACTTACAGTTTACTTTTTAAAGTATCAACATGTTAAAGGTTATAATCCAACCAAAAAAAAAACCCAAAGCTCTTTATCTGCAATTTGGTCAGTGGTATGCCCTCTGAACACAGTGTTATGTGCTGTCAAGTTGCCTCCAACATATGGTGAGGCTGTGAATGTATGACCTCCAAAATGTCCTGTTCTCAACAGCTCTACTCAGCTCTTGTAAACAAGCCTGTGGCTTCTTTTTGGATCAATCCATCTTATATATGGTCTTCCTCTCTTCCTGCTGCCTTCCACTTTTCCTAGCATTATTGACTTTTCCAGAGAATCTTGCCATCTCATAATATTATTGACTTTTCCAGAGAATCTTGCCATCTGATAATATTCCCAAAGTAGGACAGCCTCAGTTTTGTCATTTTTGCTTCTAGAGAAAGTTCAGGCTTGATTTCATCTAGGGACTCACTTGTTTGTGTTTCTGGCCTTCCAGAATATTTGCAAAGCTTTCCTAAAGCACCATATTTGAAACACATTAATTTTCTTCCTGTCAGCTATCTTCATTGTCCAGCTTTCAGACCCAAACATGGTGATCAGAAGTACAATTATTTATCTAAAATATTTTTATCCTGCCTTTCTCCTTTAAAAAAAAAACCAAGACAGCTTACATAATTAAAAAGATAAGACTGTGCATGGTCTTGTCTCCAGTGACACATCCTTACACTTGATAATACTTTCTAGTTTCTTCATTGCTGCTCTTCTAAGTGTCAGTCTTCTTCTGATTTCTTTCACTGCAGTCTTCATTCGGACTGATGATTGAACCAAGGTATATACAAAATCTTTAACGATTTTGATTTTTTTTCATTGTCAACATTAAAGTTTCCAAAAATAAGATCCAATTTTGACAACAACAACAACAACAACAAAAGAGGAAAGCAACTTTATAACTGTTTGCTGATTTGTGGAGATCATCAGTTGGAGTCATTGCTTAGTGTTGTAAGTCAAAACTAGAATATCCCCATTGAATCCACTGAACCTATGGGAGAGTTGGGTCACCAAATCCCCACTGACTCAATGGGATTACTCTACTACACTCAGCAACAGGATTACAGTAATTCCTGAATCAGTGTAACAGTCCAGAGCGAATGTTCAGGAAGTGGAACAGGAAGGGGTCATAACAAAAAGGTCTCCCCATAAACATACACACAGTGTTAGGTGGAATTCTACTCACAGGCTTTCTACATGTTAAGCTTTAGTACATTAAGTCACTCTATTTGCATATTTTATTGTGAAACAGGTATTTGATAAGGTCTAACAAATTTGTCAAAAGATTGAGAAAATGCAGAGACTGACTGTGTAAAAGAAACCTGCTGAAAGGATGGCCAGTCATTCACAGGGCAGATGTTCTTTCTCATGATGTCTGGATGTTCCTGCACATGCTTCCTTCACTGTATCTTCAAAGGGGCTTGAAACTTGCTTTTAAGAAAGAGACTGACAGAAGGAGAGACTGAAAGAGAAACGTTTTGGAATTGATTTCAGATACTAAATGCCGAATCCAACATGAATTAGATTAAACATGTGGATGATCAGAGTCACAAAATACAGCCCTAATGATTTGCTCAAAGCCTGAAGTGGTAAAATGGTTTTGATTAATGTCTCTGCCACAGCGAGATGGCAGGTAGCACAGGATAAGAGATATGCAGAAAGAAAGAATAAGAACATCTCAGCTAGAGCAAAACAGCTCAGACAAACATGGATAAATCTTCATACTTTCATGGGGAGATACATAAACCAAAGACTGACTGTATTTTGATTGGGGACAAGAAGTTGAGTGTCCCCATACTTTCATGGGGAGATACATAAACCAATGACTTGATTGGGGACAAGAAGTTGAGTGTCCTGTCCAATATACAAAGCATTGTGGACTATGTAGGTATCTTTTTTGCTACGAGGATTACTAAAATGATTGCAAAACTTAGCTAAAAAGGAGAGAATACTACTTGTGGGTAGCATGCATAGGAAGAAGCTATTCATGGAAACAGAAAACATGGAATTTGAAAATGCTAGCCCAGAAGATCAATAATTTATAGAACAAATTTAAAATGTCTCAACAAGAGTTAAACCATGTCCATGCTGGCTAAGCAATTTTAAGGCAAGGTTACAACCAACCAGAGACTGAGGTGTGTAAACTTACACATTGGTACAAAATGGAAATCTGTATTTGGCTGTTGTTTAAAAAAACAATCCTCAGTTTAAGGATAGGAGGGCTAGGCATAACCAATATTCAGTCACCTCCAAAACCATGGCTACAATGCCATAAAAGTTAAGACTATAAGACGGATTTATGGTCTTTGAGATGAAGCATTTGCACTACTTAATGCTGCTCCCATTTTATCAATTTGTCTTGAAGGGGCACAAATCACTCGCAAGGTACAACCATCCATTCCCATTCCCCGTACTAATTCTGTGGTGAATCTCAATTCCTCTAAAGTGCTGCTCTGACTCAATGCAGCATTTGGAATTGCTGTTATGAGTCCATGGCACGGGAATATCTCCTTATGGCGAGTGGCCTTAAAAGACCTTTCTTTCCTCCCAACCTGCTCCTTAAGCATGAGTTTGGAAAGATGAAGCAACTTGCAAGGGTGTGGTAGTCTATGGTTGGGAGGCAGTGCAAAGCTCCTTGCATAACTGATGCTGGCCCTTTAAAGGGATCTTTGGCCTCTGTCAGTGTTGAAGTGCCTTTGCATGTTCCAGATCTGTGGAGTAGACCCTTTTAAAATATAAAGGGAGAAAGAAAAGCACGCTTTTGTCTGGCAAGGGAAGTCCCATAGTGCTAAACAGACCCTCAGTACAAAGCACTACAAACAAAGCAAAGGGGTTTGGGGATGGAAAAAGGAGTATCAGGGACTCATGGGGAAAAATCTTTCCATACCTGATACACAGTGAGATAAGAGGAACTTGGTCTCTGTGTTGGCAACTGCTGTTAATACCAGTGCTTAACCAGCAGGGAAGCACTTCACCCATATATACACTGTAGGGCGACCCTTTCCCTTTTTAGTCCATGGGTCACTAATGGCAACCGATATTCAGAGCAGAGCTTGAAAAGTTGTCACAGTATCAAACCTGCTGAAACAGGAAATCATGAGTTTAGTTTCTTTTTTTTCAAGGTAGCACTTCCATTTGTCATTATTCAAGAGCAACTACAAGAAATGGTTGTTGTGGGTTTTTCAGGCTCTTTGGACGTGTTCTGAAGATTGTTCTTCCTAACGTTTCACCAGTCTCTGTGGCCGGCATCTTCAGAGGACAGGAGTAGCACTCTGTGCTCTAGTGCAGTTTGTTTGGGAGTTGAGTATTTATAGCTGTGGGATCAGCTTTTGTCCTTTTCAGGAGATAGGTGATTATGGTAATCAGTCTGTTTTTGTTGTGGGTGTATTGTTGTGAACAGGAGGAGAGATTATCTGTCACTGTGATTCATGGGTGTTGTTAGCTGGTCTTTTGTGTGTAGTGATCACCAGTCCTTGTGGCTGGGTAGAGTTTGTTGACCTTTTGCAGGCTGTATATTTCAGTGCTGGGAGCCAAGATTTGTTGAGTTTTAAACTTTCTTCTTTTTTGTTGTTGTTTTAGTCTGCAGTGCCTCTCATGTTCTTTGATTCTGGTATGGATGCTTCGTTTTGTGGTTCCAATATATACCCGGCCACAACTGCAAGGTATCTGGTATACACCTGCAGTGGTGAGGGGGTCCCTTCTGTCCTTTGCTGACTGTAACATTTGTTGAATTTTGTGGTAGGCTTGAATACTGTTTGTAGGTTGTGTTTTTTCAAAAGTTTCCCCATGCAGTCCATGGCCCCTTTGATGTATGGCAGAAATACTTTATTTGTATTTCTGTTTGTGGGTGGCTGTTTTTCTTTAGTTTGGTGCTGTTTTCTTGGTTTAATTGGCTCTTGTCATTTAATTTTTGGAGTAGCCATTTGCCTGTAGGGCCCAATTCAGATGGTTGAGTGCTGAGAAATTGAGCTTCACAGTTCTGATTTGCACGGTCTACCAGTGTTTTGATTAAGCAAATAATGGGGGCTGTAATGCATCTCCTGTAACAGTAAATATTATATTATATTATATTAGCCTCATGTGACCAGAATCCTACTGATATTTGTGTATGGTTCGTATAACCTGGTTGTTGCTAACTGCAGCTAATTAACAAGGGGCAAGGGTGGTCTGGCCATGTGTCTGACTGCAAAACCAAGATGCAGCCTGACACCTCATCAATAAGCTGCAACTAGCCACGGCATGTTACACAGACCTTATGGGAATTCCAATAGGATTCCAGCCAATGTAACTTAGCTATGGTCTAGGCTACTTACTGTGAAAATGAATTAATTACAAATAATGTATTAGTTGTAGCTAGTCACTTCCAAACTCTGATTCATACCCATATTGCTTCTGAACCTGATAACCAAAGGCAGATACTTCCTCCATTATTTTTTTCTTTTATTAAAAATGTCATTTTGATGCCACCTAAGTGCTTCTTTAAAATATATCAGGGTGCCATATTCCATAAACGAATGTCATCTCTAAAGGAAGCCACAGGCTTGGAGTTCTAAAGGAAGCCACAAGCTTGAGTTGGCAAGAGTTGGGCAGAGCTGTTGAGGATAGGACATTTTGGAGGTCACTTATTCATAGAGGTGCCATAAATCGGTGGGTGACTTGACAGCACATAACAACTGTGTAATCATGCCTCATATGAAAGACCTCCTGGTGGGTGCTCTGAATCTGCTGCCATTCTATTTCGTCTGAAGTATACACCCATCCCAGTAATTTTAATCTGGCATTGAAACATCTGCTTTAAAACGAAAACAAAACCCTCCCCCACTGAAATCCATGGGATGTAAAAGTCCTTAATTTTCATCACAGCTTTGTCTAATGTCGGTGTAGAGAACCTGTGTCTTTCCATGGGCTGCTGGACTCCTGTATCCATCATGCTGTGCCATCCTTGCAAATGGGGAGAGATGATAAGAACAACAGTTCATCAACAACACACAGTGACAGCTTCCTTACCCTTGCTTTTATGTGTGTGTTTGTGTGTGTTCGTGCACATACAAATGCTTTTGAAAATCACTTTTTAAATATAATGCTCTCATTGAATAGGGATTAAAATCAGTGACAAATGTGGTGAAATATGCAGGCATCCGGATTGGGGGTTGGGGGTGGTGTTTGAACTGCACAAAGACAATTACTTTTTGCTATACATATATAACACAAGTGAAAGCTTAATTAACTTGTCAGAAAGTGTGGAGTCTCTTTTCTTGAGCTGCTGAACTCACCTTCCCCAAAGACTTTGAGTTGAGGGTTGGAAGGGGGGGGGAGAGAGAAACACCCATCCTGAGTGCTTTATCTGAAGAAGCCAATCATGCATGGCATTCCTGTAACTCAGTAATCTTGTTTATCTGTCTCTGTGAAAGTCTGTCCCCCCACCCCACGCCACCCACTCCTCATCGCACCCACTGCAGCTGGGCGAACCAGACTCTTTTTGTCTGGCAAAGAGGCTCCCAAATGAGGGCTACCTTTGTGCTACGAATGGAGTGAAGTCATAAGACAAAGCATGGCTAATTATGACATACAAGGCTCCTGTTTGTCAGGC